ACCGTTGCACCATTAGTAAATTGTTAGGAACTACTTGACACAGTAGATATGCTGGTTAAATAAAACAAGTAAAATAGTCTAAAACCGTTTTTTAATAATCTTAAGACTAATTTTTAAAAAATCTTTTTCTTTAAGAATTTTAGAATAATATATTATATAAAAAAATAAGTAATATAATAATATAAATATTTAGATTAAAAGTTTAATAAATCTATATTAAGTTTAAAGTAAACTATTATAATAATAAATATAAACTACTATATTATTAGATATTATATAATAAATATATTTTTTATTAAACTGGATTGTTTAATATAGTAATATAGCTATAAATAATTTTATTATTTATTTTAATTAAATATTTTTATTAGTAATATTTTTTATATAGTAGAGTTTAGTGTTATAATAATAAAAGAATTATTTTATAAACTATATATTATATAAATAAAAAATTCTAAAATAGTAAATAAAATATATATCTTATTAATAATCTAATTAAAATCTAATATAAAATAAATATATAAATAAAAAAAATTAATATATTTTTATTTATTTTTATATCTCGACTTTCTATCAAATTTTTTTATATTTATTTTTATTATTATTTATATTTTTATTTTTACTCTTTATTTCATATTTATTTATTAATTTATTTTCTTAAAATTTTTATTTTTATTTTTTTTTATAAAATACTAATAACTACTTGCTGTTATTTAGCCGATATATTTATTATATTTAATTTTTTTATTTATATTATTTAAAAACTAGTATTAAGAAATTTAATATTTTTAATATAAAAAATTTTATATCTAGTTATATTTTTAATACTATAGTATCTATAGTATATAAGTAATATTTTAATAAAAATTAGATTTATTATTAAATATATTTTAATAATTTTTTAGTAGATTTATTAAATTAATAAAAACTACACTTTAATTAATATATTAAAAAATATTCTTAAGTTCTTATAAATTTCTAATTAAAGTTAAATTTTTTTTATTTACTATACTATTTTTAATTAGAATTTAAATTTAAAATTTAATATTTTCTATTTAGATTAGTTATCTAATTCTAATTTTAGTTATGAATTTTAAAATAGCTGAATTAATCTATTACTGTAAATATAAACTAATTAATATTAATAAGTTTAAAATTATAATATATTTTTTATTAATTTTTAGTTAATCTATAAACTAATTTATTAGTTTAAAATAATTTTTTATTATTTTTTATTATAAGCTGTTATTTTATCGCGGATAATCTAATTATATTTTATTTAATATCTAGAAATAATAGGTTTTTTTATAAATTAAGACTAAGTAAATATTTTTTTTTAAAAAAATCTGCTATAAAATATATACTATATATAGTAATAAGATTTTTTTCTTAGAATTTTTATATTTAGAAGATAAAGTAGTTCTAATTTTTTATTATTTATTTTTTATAAAAATAGTACTAATTAGCTGGATTAATCTGATAGTTTTTTAATAGAAATCTAACTTATTTATAAGAATTTTTTATTTTAATTATATATTTTAGGATTAAACTTTAAATAGATTTAATATAGTAATTTAATATAGATTCGGTTGTTTTTTTTATATTTAAAAATAAAAAATTTTCTGCTGTTTTAATTTTTTCTATATTTAGAAAATAAAGTTGAACTGGTATAATATTATTATAATTTTATTAAAAATTTAATGTTTTTATATTCTATTTATAATATTTAAATCTGTTTTTTTCATTATTTTAACTAGTTTAATTAAGAAATAGTAGTTTATACTTCTTAAATATTTATCTAGATTAGATAATATAATTTAAAAATAGATAAAATATTTTAAAATAATTTTGATAAGAATTTATTACATAATATATTACTTTTTTTTGATAATTAAAAGTAAGAAGAATTAGAAATTATTAAAAATTGTTTAATATAGTAAATATACTGATTAAACAAAACAAGTAAAATGACTTAAAATAGTTTTTTATTAATTTTAAGATTAACTCTTAAAAAATCTTCTTCTCTAAGGATTTTAGAATAATATATTATATAAAAAAATAAGTAATATAATAATATAGATATTCCGATTAAAAGTTCGACGAATTTGTATCGAGTCCGGAGCGGGCTGTTATAATAGTAGATATAGGCTGCTGTAGCAGTAGGTATTGTATAATATTAGAGGACTAGGATGTAAAAAGGCTTTATACTGCACACACTATATAAGGTTGCATTGATACAGGATTCAGGCAAGATTCAGGCAGGTAGTGGTTCTCAGTGGTTCTTCGGGTTCGGGGTCAACGGGAGCCTCTTACTCACACCGTGACCTGCTGAGATAAACAGCTCCATATAATCAATTATAGCTTCACTTGTCGGCTCCAACTGTTATATTATTATAAAACTAAATTTAATCATATCATAAAAATCCATAATTAAGGAATACTTAAAAGATACTTTATAAGTACTTATTAAATACCTAAAAAATAAAATACAATAAAGTAAAGAAATATAAAAGAAAATTAGATTTTAATAATAAAAACCAGTAATCTATAGAGCTATATGAAACATTTATACTTATATAAAGGGCTTGGTATTATGTGCCGCAAAAATATTCTATATATACTCAAAGAATAGTTCAGATAAACTGTGTTTACTGCTCATATGCAACCTGACTAGTCCACCCGATTACTAAGCACATCATTAGTGGTGTGTTTGACCACCCGTAGAACATGTGCTAAATCGACACTAGCATCCCAAAGCTCCCTTACTGACCTCACTTACTTCAATTATCCTTCGAGCAGCCAACACCTCTCTCCATTCCTACCTATCAAAAACTGATCTTGCCACGCTCATAGCATGTCTCGTCCTGGCACTACCTTATATGTCACCGGCTTCGGGCACGGGACTCGAGCTCGCGATCTTGCCTACGAATTCGAACGGTACGTGCCGCTCGTCGATTGCCTACTCGCTACTATATCCAACAAATCGTCTCCTCAAACGCGAAAACACTCGACGGAGTCTCGCAGTATCGCAGGCGAAGCTGTTCACTTTTTCCCGTTTCAGAGAGATTCTCTCTCATTGCTGCTTTGTGGTAGTGCTGTGAGCGGAATTCTCCGCCAAACCCAATACTACCACCATCTACCTGTTCATCATTCTCCCGAGTCAAATTTACATTCTAATGAGTACTTGGGCTTTAATTGTTCCTGACATTTCTTGTAGGTATGGCCGACTTGTGCGTTGTGATATTCCAGCACCGCGAACTCCGTCGAGCAGACTGTATGTAACCAAGCCATTCCAGACTCTTCACCTGGACTTACGTCGGCAGGTTTGCTTTCGTGGAGTATGAGAGTCGCCGTGATGCAGATGATGCCTATCATGAGATGCACAATAAGCGAATTGGCCGCGATGATTTACTGAAGATAGAGGTTTGTCATCCGGCTGCCCACACCATGAAAACATTCAATTAACATGTCAAAGTGGGCTCGGACTCCCCCTTCTGCCTCCTGGCGTTTTGACTCTGGTCGCGACCGTCGGCGTGACCGTACCCCTCCCCGCCGTGGCCGCTCTCCTTCGCCTCGACGCAGCCGGGGCGATTACTCTCCACGCAGGGATGAAAGGTATGATCGGGAGTATGACCGCCATGATCGTGACTACGAGCGTCGGGACCGTGATTATGACCGTCGGGACCGTGATTATGACAGACGTGAACGTGAACGGGAGCGTTCTCGTGATCGCTCCCGTAGCCCTGATGAGAGAGATCGTGATGTTAAAGAAGGTCGGGAACGCCGCGATGATGAGCGAGAACGAAACGACGATGATCGTGAAAACGGACCAAATGGCGAGGAAAGAAAAGGTTAGCCGTCTAACATTCAACCTTAACAAGATACTGATCCCTCTGAAGTGGCCCCGTTAGACCCCTTGGCTTCTGCTCATGATGAACTGGACACCGCGGAGTAGGTTGCTCTCCTGCTTGGCTCGCTGATACCCAAGGTCGTATATCAGGCCGTCCTGGTATAATGCCTTGCCTATGGGAGATGCGAAACCCTCAACACCCTCGGAAATTTTACCGGTAATCAGCTTTGACTTTCTTACCTCCCCCCTATAACTGCCCAGTGCTTCTTGATCTTTTAAGCCCTAGAGCTTATAGTGCCTTGGTGTTCCCCGTGTTTCCCCTGTCCCCCTCGCAGCTGCTACATGCTTATTGGTATACCTATGATCGTTTCATTCACCGACCCGTCCCGCCTTGTTTCAATCAACGATGTTATTCATCGTAGGTATGAAGCAAAGACTTCTGGTTGGGAGAGGGACGGCGCGGCCTAGATGGTTTGTCAATTTGTTATTTATCGTGGTCAGCAGCTCGAAACTTTGCCGAACGAACGTCGAGCGAGCCTCTTTCCTATCTTGATTTAACGCCAGCCTTTGTCGTCCTTTAACCCTCCTAACGATAACTGGCGGCCAGTTTCTTCGTCCTCGAGTCGCAAATTAATATCACTCGATCTTTCCTCATCCCTCGTCCTACTCGTCCGTCCGAATTTCCTGATCAACCCTTTTTTTTCCGAAACGGTCTGCCGTAGGAGCCGTAGCTTGTACTCGAGACATCTGATTCTACTTTGCAGAAAATTTTGAGGAGCCCTGGTAAGCGTCCTTGAGACTATCATATTAGCTTTTGCCAAATAAGACGTAGATAGATGCTAGTTGTATCAAATCCTTTTATCCCCTTTGTCTTACCAATCCATGGTTTTGGATGGTTGTCCTCGGAATCATATGAGAATATCCATAAATTTACAAAAACGCGCTGCTGCTTCTTTCTTGGGTCTGTATGTGAAGCTATAAGTGGCTATTATAATGTCACCGAGTGCTCAGAACCATGAAAGCCGACTCGAAAATAATCCTTTCCTGGTGAGGTTTAGAATTTGAGGAACGGCCCACCATAGTTTCAAACTCATAGGCGAACCCTCAAAAGGGTTGCTGGCAGCTAGGAAGAATCTTCTAGACATGTTAGGACATGTAAGGACCTTGATTAAAGGTTATGTTTAGATAGCACTATGACTAGAAACGGGGACTTTGGAATTTGCAACACGAGATCTAAGAACATAGACGAAGCCCTCCTTGCGTAAGAGTCCTGGATCGAACGAACTATTGCATTTTCTCGTATGTAGCCATGAGCGAACCTGCAGTATATGGTCAATTTCCCTATGCATCGGTATAGATCAATTGCAATGAACTTACCAATGAAAGTGGTAACTAGGCGAGATCGAACTTGACAAATATCTTCGGGGACCAGCCAAATCGTCGCCCCGAGCTTTCGTGCTATGCTAATACTCAACTTAGCGTTGGCATAGGCCTCCTCCTCGCTCCGGCCAGGCGTCACGAGCTCATAGTCAACGTAACTGCTCTTCATGCCATTGAGCACATCAAGTAAGAAAATACCAGATCCAATAGACGGATCCTTGAAATTGCGAATTGTCGTAGTTCTTCCTCCCCTTCGGGACATCTCATTTGCCCATTTTATCATCTCTGCATCAGTCATTTCGCGTTTGCCCATCCGTTGTGCTAGGCCGGAGAGGGTTATAGTGATATCTTTTCGCATGAGTTGCCAGACCAGCCCCAACGTAAGAGTCCTTTGGCCATCGGTAATATCCGCTCCTTGCACACCTACAAGGGAGAAACCAATGTGTTTACCAAGCTCGATTGCATAATTGGTGTTCTCGACTGCCTTGAACCGCATCATTTCTCCGCCAGACGTCGGAGGCTTGTTGACATGTTTCCAGTTCACACTGCCAGAAATTACCTTATCATACGCTTGTAGCAGGATGGTTCCATCGCGTAGGTCATCGAACAGTGAGTTGACAGAAGGCTGTACGTCGAGGGAGTTTAGCCAAAGAGTGAAAACTCTGGCCTCTCGTTCGCCCTCAGCATCGAAGTCCTCAACCTCGAGTTTCTCTTCTTCTGTAATCGGGTCAAGACCAGGAATTGTGTTGAACAAGTTTGCCACAAATGCAAGATTAAGCTTCGGATTCCCTGCAACCAACGAAGTAGGGGTCAGGAACTTTCGACACTCGAGCTTTTCCGCATTTGTCAGAACATGTTCAGCACGTTGAACCAAATCTTGAACTCGAAGGGGATCCCTCGAGCAGATCTCAGGCGCCAATTGATTGAGTAGTATGGTGTAGTTCTCCCCGTCTTTCACATCGGTTGAGAAATTTGTAACTCTATGTCATGTTAGCTCAATATTTTATCCAAATCTCCGTGGATTAGTAGATTAGTCCTCGATCGGCCTAGTCATCGAGGTGGACGGAGATTGTGCAGCCTGGGTTCTGGTGTGAGGCATCATACCTTCTATCCCACTTTGCATTTTTCAAGTGATAGTTGAACCAACGTAGCAATATCTGCTCCGGAGGAAGGCGAAGGAACTGCTCCAATGTTTCGTCTTCTTCAAGCAGCCGGTAAAGCTCCGGATGAAGTTTTATGTCAATCTTTCCGAGGAGACCTCGGCGAATGATCTGCCAAATGAGGCCCAGAATAAGATGCTCACGAACTTCGATTATATCGCCGCTTCCTATGTTGACAACTGAACACCCTATTCCCTTGGCGGAGTTGATGACGATGTTGTTATTCTCGGTCATGTGGAAAGCGTTCAATTCCTTTGTTCTCTTCCCAGGCTTGTTAAGAACACGCTCATCGATCGTGTCTGGAACGCTGTCATTGATAAGCTTTGCTAGCACTAAACCGTCCTTGCATTTATCGAACATCTCAAAGGTATCGGTAGGAAAAGGTAGAGAGTGGCCGATGTCTGGGTCCCCTGCGAGAACAGCATTGATATGCCTGGTGAATTCGGTCCTCTCATCTTCGTTTATAGTGTGTGTCACATTTGCAGACGAGCCTTGTACATGGATTTTCCCACCGATGCTCCCCTTAGAGACGTGGCGGGACTGCCCAGTGACATTTCCTGGTATGACTGCTGCGGGACCATGGCCACCAGCCTGATTTTGCGCTGTTGCAAAGCGAACTTTGGAGATGAGCTGCCGATTTGCGTTAGCATCATTGACGAAAGTGCTTTTCAGGATACTAACATCGACGTAGTCCTCCAGTTCGACGCGGCGGGAACTGTCCAACTCGACCTCTTTCAAGGCTTGGCGTACGACATCATAAGGCTTCCGTTCCGTTTGTTGCGTTGCCTTGATCACAGTGGCCTCGTCGAGATAGCCCCTGTCGTCGACATCCAGCTTCCGAAACGCATCTTGGAGGGAGAAGATGTCTGCCTGGTCGAATTGCGGGAATTTCCTGAGCCATGGTCAGTAACTCCGCAGCTTTTACTCGTGGTATCGATGCGAACCTCTGTAGTTTGAGCACGTTCATTTTCTCCTTGTGGTCTCCCTCGACCTCGAAGAAATAGGCTTCTTGAGCAAACTGAAAGTTCAAAGATTTAGAATCGCAACTTGCGGGGGAATATACTAAACGTAAGTATCAGTAGGTGACCGGGTTAGCACTCAACGTTTAAGTGACCTTGATGGGGGGTAGGAGCTGCTGGTATGATGAACGAAGGAGACTCCGTGGGGTTGGTTGCCGTCTGGTCCTCGAGGTAGAACTGCACTAGTGTAGGAACCCAATGACAAGGTGGGGTTAGGATGGGATGACTGGCATAGCTCACTAAGTTAGTTTACCGGGAATTACACAGAAGAACTCTTAGAATGGGTCAGATTGGAACCGCGTGTGTAACTGGCCTACATGTTGGCTACCTAGTAGTCATTATAAATAATTTACCTGACCAATGTATTTCTATTCACAAAAAGATAGATATAACCACATACATAAACACTAATCTGTGCATATAGTATCTGGTCAATGACGTGTAGAACGTGTAAGCGGCTGCCGCCGGATGCCGGCTGCTGCTGCCTAATGCCTGATGATGTCGCCGTCTTAATTACCGACTGAGCTCCATTTTTGTTCACTAGATAAACCATCATCCTTGATGACTGATAAGTGATTGACAAAAAATAAGTTATGTGGCATATGTGACTAGTCATTCACCCGCCAAATCGTAAGCACCTGCAAATTGACATAATTTATCCCTGTGTACGAGGAGGTGGTCAGCTACGAAGCTTTTGGGCGGCTGATCCACAAAGCCTTAGTTAAACTGCCAACAAGGCCAGAAAGCACGGATGAATATTTGCGATTCCGAGCACCCTCTGCGATTTAATACAAGCACCTAGGCCTCTGAGGTCTTACAGCCTCGTCTGATACTGTCTTTTTATCAGTTCATCTGACGTAGGCGCATTGGCTTTTGCCACGAGACCACGAGCTCTCCTGAGCTTCATGCCAAAAGAAAGCCAACGGGGTCCTTTCCTAGGGGCAATTTCGCCTTGGAGTAGCCCCCAAGGCTCGACACCCTTGTCTACTACAGACAAGCAACACGATATCCAGAATATACTGAAGCAATCACAAGGACAAGACCATGCTGTCACGCATAGGTACAGACTCAGCTTACACCGTTACCCTGAAGACTGCCCGCCCTTGAGTGTCAAGTGGTTTTATGCAGTGGACTCTCCGAAAAGGAAGCCGGAGCTGTCTACCAGTGCTCGGAACAAAGAAGATCTCAAGTTGCCACCCCCCAAGAAATTTGTGCAATTCTCAATTAGGGACTCTCATGCCATTGAAGAAGCTTTCCAAAGAATATCGGACATCGATGTTGAAAATGAGAACTTTAGCCACGAACAAGCAGACCCTGGCTGTTCACGCTTTCCAACTAAGGTTTCCGTGAATGAAGACTTTTTATTCGATGTGAACGTGGAAAATAGGGAGCTGGCGCCAACGTACTGGGTAGGCCCCATATATGAAGTGCGCCGAGGGACATGGTTCTTTCAGGAAGGATCGACTATGAAGCCATGCGAAGAGAACTTAGCAACACAGCTTGAGGAGGGATATCTAAAGCTAAAACCCTGGCGATGCTCGGACACCGGTCGCTCTCCATCAACTGCTTCGTCGACAACACTTAGTCACCAAGGTAAGTCAAGAACGCGCAAGTCAACAGACTGAATCGCTCATTTTGTCAAACAGATTCTAGCCCCCGTGGTACTTCCGGAACCAGTAATGAACCAAGGGATTATCGTTTGTTCGGCGCTTATATGAGCAATATAGTCACATATCAAGATGCTTCCACTGCGCTGCTGACAAGTGATGACTTTATGTCCAGGGTCAGCACTACTGTATACCAAAAGCTGGGTGCTGTCGCAGGCACAAAACTTATACGTGGCTTCAATGAAGCGAAGAAGCCCACAGATTCATCAAAATGTGGCACTCCACCAAAGCAGAAGACACACGATGGGCTCAAGCGTCGCACCAAACTACCAGGGCAGCTCGAAGTAGAATCCAAGTTGTTGGGTTTGACCGAATTGACTGGACCAGACAACCCCAGTCTAACGAATACAACAACAGGGTCTGCAACCAAAGAGCCGTGTAATGGGGCAGATGGTCGCTCGGAATTGGCCGAGCTTGAAGAGCAAGTGCGTACTCAAGATCAGAAGGAGATGGAGGCATCAAAAGACTCCAATGAAGATCGAGATCGGGAGATAGATCACTTGGTCCTAGTCACTCATGGGATTGGCCAGCGCCTGGGCTTGCGCCTAGAAAGTGTAAATTTCATACACGATGTCAATGTTTTACGCAAAACGATGAAAAGTGTTTATCGAGCATCACCCGATCTTCAAGCCTTCAACTCGCAATTCGCTGATAAGCATGAAAACTGCCGCATCCAGGTCCTACCCGTGTTAGTCTATTTGGCCCCTCCACATTGCGATACCACCCTTCATATTTAGCCTTGGCCGAGCCTCTCAATGGCTTGTGTTTTTATGGAATCCACGTACTGATCCAGTATTTGTCATAGTTGTTGGAGACATATGCTCGATTTTCCCTATCAGCGAATGGAGCAAAGTCGGAAGGAACTCGACTTAGCGGACGCGGAGGCTCCCGAAGATGCAATACCAGCATACCCTACTCTATCAGATATTACACTCGACAACGTGCCTGCTGTTCGGAATCTCATATCCGACCTGGCTATGGATGTTCTGCTTTATCAGAGTGCGTATTGTGAACAGATATCTCACATAGTGAAAGGGGAGTGCAATAGAATCCTGAGGCTTTTCAAGGAGCGAAATCCTTCCTTCAAAGGCTCAGTGAGTCTTTGCGGCCATTCTCTTGGTAGTGCAATCCTCTTTGATATACTCTGCCATGAACCCCATGATAGCCATCATGCAACCCCCTCGGTCAATGCCAGACAGCCACAATGTTGTCGAGATTCTTCTTTGGAATTTCAATGCCAGGAATTCTTCTGTCTAGGCTCCCCTGTCGCATTATTTCAGATGCTCAAAGGGAAGACTATTGCTGCGCGGCGGGCTCGAGACGAGGGACTAGCAGAAGTACCGTCCTTCCCAGAGAACTACGCATTGGAAACACCATTGCAGCCTACTCCCCAAACAAAGTCTTTTGCTTCACACCAGACTAGCACCGTGGTCGCTCAGAATGAGTTATCTGTCTCTTCACCTAAATGTGGGCAGCTGTACAATATTTTCCATCCCTCTGACCCCGTGAGTTATCGTTTAGAGCCTTTAATCTCACCAGCACTGTCATCGCTCAAGCCGCAGCCTTTGCCGTCGGTAAAGAAAAGTCTCTGGGCAACATCCGGTCAGAGTCTTTCCATGATCGGTAGTCGTGTCGGCCAAAGTGTGGGATCTCTCTGGACGAATTTCACGTCAGGTGTCGCCAGCAGTCTTCTTAACCGTAGCCTTGGTCTGAGTCCCGAGGATGCCTCAACCCGCTCATCGTCCAATGCGAATACTCAAGACCCCCAGAATCTACCATCGGTCACGGGGGCCTCTGCGCTGAGTGAAGACAAAAGTCGACGACCCACACTGCTTCACTCTGATTTGGAAACGCTCTACGGAAAAATCCATCGGGACAGGATCTCAGCGAAGCAGAATTTACAAGCCAGAGAACATGCTAGCGGAGCCCCTGGAGCAGACAGTGGCTCGAAAAGGATTCTGCTAGAGGATGCCAAGGTAAGGGCCCTGAATGCCAACGGGCGTGTTGACTATAGCATACAGGAGTAAGTTCGGCGTCCCAAGTCGATTATGGTCTTTCAATAATGACAAGCGCTAACCGTCTAGGGGTGCATTCGATATATCTATGATTGCAAGTATTGCCAGCCACCTGAGCTACTGGACAGATGAGGATGTGAGCCACTTTATGCTATCGCAAATGCTGTGTAGGAGGGAACAGTCATCAGGAAGTCAAGATCGGCCCTAGCTTCTTTAATGAAAGGCAAGCACTCGTAGATGTTTTGTCGTTATAATCTTTCACCTTCCTGCGAGAGGCCAAACAGATGTAATAGATATATGCAATTCTCTGAACTTATTCAGAATCAATGTTTTGGGGACATGCTATCACTGGCGTCAGTGCGCATAAGGCGCGGAATAGCATATACATACCATTTACCTCTTTGATCCTTCCACCGTGCAAGAGCTCATATAGTTTATCACCAGGACCATCTTTAACCGTAGCCATACGGATCTAAACATGCTAGGGATTATTGTCATCAAGCTACACTACTTATCGATATAGGAAGTATGCGAATGTAGAATATTCCATACGGGACCAGAACGATGTCCACGGCGTCGAATGAACCAACGACCTCTACTATATATATTTACTTGCACACGGCGTAGTGCAGTCTGAATCTAGAGGAAGCTTTTCTTCCATCCATCTATCGAGGCAGGAATCAAGCACGCAGTGTGACTCGAGAGTTGCGCGTGACATACCGTCAAGTTAAGATTCTGACGGCAGGGATAGTGGGGCCTTGCTTGCTCGTACACAGATGAGAGTGGACAGGAGCCCAACTTACAGTTGGTGTGATATCCAGTAGAACCACCAGTACCCATGCCCCTAGCGGTCAGCATCGAAGAGTTTGCGGGGAAGACACTAATGAATCGATAGGATCATACTTGAAGTACGATCTCCTTCCGGTTGATAGCCTCGTCTGTATGGAACCCAAAGACCAAGCGGTAAAGATCTAGCAGCCATGGGTATTGTCCGCCCTGCGCGACAAGCCGAACGGTTTGCGCTACATCAATGGCACTTGCTCGTGCCTGAAAACTAGCACCTTTGAAAATTGGGTCAAACGCTACCAGCCTTTTATAGTTCTTCAATAGTGATATTTGCCAAGGGGTAGAGCCGAATGCGTCGGAAGACAGCGATTTGACGAATGACGAGAAAGTTTGTGTCTTAGAACGCTGATAACCACTGTTGATTGCAGCCTTTGTAACCAATAATTTGATAGCCGCCAGGTTCAAGCCTCCCGACAAGGTGGTTATTGTTTTGGTCGATGAGGTCTGCTCCGATGATTGTGATTGTCCTGATGCGGCTGATGAATTTGGAGAACAGGCAGTTTCCGATGCTTGAATTGAGCCTTGGCCTAAGACAAAAATGTTCTGGAGGGGTGCCTCATCTGGTGAGATGGCTGCACTATCATCAAAAACGGTAGTCGGGGTCTCGGGGTTTTTAGATTGTCCCAAAACCTCATCACAGGCAATGAATTGAGAGACCTTGACCTGCTCGATGGCCTGCTGGAAAGTTGCTTGACTTGGCCGTGGTGTTCCACGGTCAGAACTTCGATGGCTTCGCTGTGCCCAACCTTCCCTGAAAACATCGCAAAGTTCCCAACAAGCTTGAATTGCCGATCCCAGCAAATCTTCGTCTGGCTTCTTGTTTTCTTTTTTAGTCTGACGTATGGTGAAGAGGATCTCTGTAAACGACCAGCACGCGCCCAAAGGGGATTCTGTCTCAGACACTAGGCTCCTCTGCTTCATCAGACGATGACACAATGTGATGTAGAAGTCTAGAGTCCTCTCACGGAAAGCCTCTGGCAGGTTTCGATCGTGCGTATTATAGAGATGGTTATTGAGCTCAAAACTGACACGGAGAATCGAATCTGTGACCTCGTTTTCTTTCTCACGAACTTCGAACAAAGATTGACAAAAATCATGACAAATATCAAGAGTAGGGTTGATTTTTGAGGAATGGTAGTCGTTCTGACTGATGTAGAGTTCCTGACATAGACGCCAGCATAGTTTCCAGGTCTTATCTTGAGTATTGACGTAGGATCCATGCCTTTCTCCATGTAAAGTGCCGAGAACGGCCAATGAATTGCATAGAGCCCAACACTCCGCTAGGGCTGCTGTCAAAGCGTCAATTTCTGCTTGCTGTCAGAATGGTATACAACCCGTAGACCCAGGCCATTCAAGTCATCGTGGTTGGATGATTTCCTGAGATCAGTACCGGAAAGGATTGACTTACCCTCAACACGGGATATCGAAGGCCAGGGCGTTCCTTCTCCAGAGACAGCATCTGCCCTACTATCAACAGTACTGGTACATGAAATCATGCGAGGATCTGCGAAATCTTGTCTTGTTTGCGCCCGAGGTGTTGGCCGCTCGGGCCAGCCCTCCGAATGTTTAACTGAAGTACTCGATGGAGGTGGTGATATAGGGCTTTCAGGCCCAACCTAGCGCTTGTCAGTCAGCTTCCAGCCAAGGCGGAGGATAGTGAAATACTACTGCGAGCGCCGTAAGATCATGACCCGAGGATGACTGTGCTGTTTGATGTGATGTATATGACTTCAATGCACTCGATGGTGCAAGCGTACTGACAAGTGGCACTTGTCCATTCACCTTTTCCTTATTAGATACCAATGAGAGGGTTGGTTGCGGATACTGATGGGATTGCTGACTGGTATGTCAACCACTTACAAAGTCACCAAAACCTGCAGGAGCATGTATCACTGATTGTGGTGGCTCGTCCCCATCCGATTTCGCCTCACCTTTGTTGACCTGTGTGTTCGCAGTACGTATCTGCCACCAGTTTCAGTATGGTTAGGTCTGATAGTCAGATCCTGCCGGTTACCACTCATACTTTGAGTCTCTCTCGAGATATTCCTGCGAATGGTGGTCTTGAACCAAGCGGCGTGGAATTACAACCACACTCGGAATCGCGCTCCGGAGAGCCATCGTGGCCGCCCGCATCTTTGTTTGAAACGAGGGACGACACTACATCGTGTCCCGATGTTGTATCAGATGTAACGATGTGATTTTGGTCAAGCCTATGCGATTTAGCATTCTATATTGAGTCATCGCGGAAATTGCATTCTCATACATGGTGTATCTAGAGGCGCTAGGAAGCTAATGGTCTGGAGATCTCATAAGACAGGAAAAGGCGCTGGAAATGGTACTCTGGATCCTTGACGGATCCTAATGTGGTGTAAATAAAAAGCAGTATCGCATGAAAAACATACAGATAGATGCAAGCTGATAGCAAGACAACAACCTGGGAGAAGTTGGCTCAAAAATCACTTAAAAAGGCCTATCAGCAGTTCTAGCACTCGATGGAGGTCTCATCACACATCATGTGCCTTGCCGCCGTGAGACGCTTCGCGCCGAGCACGACTGGCACTAACGGTAGTATATGATAAGCTGTTGTAACTTACTGTACTGTATATACTAACTTATACTAGCCGTATAGGCTATCAACACCGGTCGAAATTCTAGAGCTACCGCAACTATATTTAAATAGAAAAGAATATAACATCAAGCCGCTTATCTGATTAGAAAGTATATTAGATTTTACTATACAAAACCGAATACAGGCTAAAATAAAAACCGGCAGAATTAGTTTTATATAATTATTATAGCCTGCAGTTTATATATCTTGCAGTTTATGTATATATTTCACAGACTTGCTGGCAGACTTGCGCGTAGAGCTGTTGGTAGGCTTGCCTATAAAGCTGTTAGCAGGCTTATTTACAAACTTACTTATAAAGCTGTTAGTAGACTTACTTATAGGCTTACTCGCAGAATTATTGGTAGATTTACTTATAAACTTGCTCGTAGAGCCGTTAGCAGACTCGCTTATAGACTTACTTGTAGAACTATTAGTAGGCTTATTTATAAGCTTGCTTGCAAGGCTGTTAGCAGGGCTGTTTTTTATAGACTTATTTATAGAACTGTTAACAGGCTTGCTTGCAGGGCTGTTATAAAACTATTAGTAGATTTGCTTATAAAATTATTAGCAGAACTATTAGTTACTACAGTAGCTGCTGTAGCTACGGTAAAAATAATCAGACTAACTGGCTTACTTATATTTAATTAGATTTTCCGAAATCAAAACTGTATATTAAACAGTAAAAGGTCAATATTTGTATTTATATACAGTTTTATATATAAATATAAATATATTCTTAGTATCTTGGTATACCGCCTTTTCTGTTTAAGTATGATTCCGGTAGTAATAAAATTTCGACCGGTGTTAATAGCTATTATTGCTGTACAGTTGTCCGAGTAATCGTAACATGTATCCAGCAAAAATGGTGTGATGATGAGGAGATACTGTATTGTAAATATCAGATCAACGGTTGGCCGTGTTTCTTATCTCTTCGTAGGTGGATAGAGTTTTACTTCGGTAAATGGTCATATGGATCTAGACGTTGCTTCGTACAGTACTTGAAAAAAGAACGTGTATTATGGTGGTATGAAGGGTAAGTAACCGTTTCCTGACATTGACGACTAGGTAGTGTCTGCTGCCATGTACATTCGAACTGTTCAAACGAGCTCGAAAGAACCATGTCAAATGCTGGCCCTCAGTGGCACGGAGGAATAGTGCAAACCTCCGCAAACCCTCTCACATTATATACGGGTGTCTATGGTCAAAATCGACCACTTGACATTGTTCATAGGCAAGATGTCTACAGAAACAACAAACTGCCAGGAAACTTTTAGAGTTCGGAGCAAGGTACTATGTGCCTTGTCAGTCAAGTTAACCAGTCTTGATTACATTAGTTAAATGAACCGCTTGTGAAAGGCGTTCCTTGCCACTGCATAATTGTATGAATCTCAAAAACAGAAACAGACAAAAGAACCCAATGAAATAATAAACTACACATGTAAGACTGCCGACATGACCGAAAGAGCTCGTGCAAGAATCAAGAGAACCGCTGAAAACCACTAGGAAACCATTGGGAAACCACAGATGTAGGGATTTGGAGTGATTGAAGTCAATCGCTATTGACATTACCACAGATGAAACCTTTTGCAAAGCCGTTTTTCCTTTGGTAGTCACCGAAAGAAGGGAGCAGCAAGGTCGCACGTCCGGAAGGATTGTATGGAGGTCATCGGGGAAGGGTCAAGGCAACAGGCATTTTTTGAGAGCTGTGGAATGTAATCGATAACCGCTTCATATTTGAGACTTCGCCCGGTCCCTTTCGGTGGGATTATACCTTGCGGACAATGTCAACACTATAATTCGATGTTGGTTCGAGTCATTCGCTCATACCTGAGAAGCTTCTCAATCAAATCGACATGAGTCATGATCATCCGGCGACAACAATATCTTCTACAGCCCAGCTGATCCATAGCATCACTATAAAGTATTTCGTCAGGGATGGTGTTCGTGTCAAAGCAATCCACTGAATAATGACCTACCCGTCTGGTATGCCTTCATCTAGAAGCTGTAGGTAGCGCTCCCATAGATCTCCAACAACCTGTTACTCCACGATGGTTAGAAGCCGTGTAGGGAAGCTGGAATAAGTGTATTGCTACCTACCTTGCCACAAGAGAAGCACCTGACGGGAATGATCATTGGGCCAAAGTGTGTCTCGGGAATGAGAAGAGATGATATAAGTGAAATAAAGCTGCACCAAAGGTAATTATGATACTCAGGAAGGCGAGAGTACCAGTAAATAGGGAATGTCTTCTGTTGTGATGTGCAGCTACTGGATGGTAAGAATAAGGTCGTTGGAGTCTGTAAATCGCAGTCTTTGAAAGTGAGGAATAATTTACTCACGTTGAGGATTGATCAAATCTGTATTATTGGTTACTTGATTCGACACAGACCCCACCTTTTTCCATTTGAAGATTTGCGCCTAACCGAAAGCCTGTTAGTCTTTAAGTGTTAGAGCACACATGATCAAAGCGCTAGTACGTACTAGGAATAGAACCGGACCAGTGAATGGATGGTGTTTTGACTATGGCAGTAAGGCAAAAGAGAAGCAAAAAAAAAAAAAAAAAGGAACCTACTACAAGCAGGTGGTCATCATCCTAGCTTGTCTTCAACACCTACGGGCTACGCAACATCAATGATGCTAGTCTGTCTCATCCATAGAGTACATCATCTACAACAACACTCAAACTAGAAGGCTGAGTTTAATTCTCTTCTCATTGCCTGGTGAACCAATGTCAGATTCGGAGCATAGACAACTTTCCAAAAGATCGCGCGCCAGCGAGATGGCCCAAGGGAAGATGGTCTCAACCGATGATGTTCGCATCAAGCGCCGTCGTACATCACCAACCGACGATGGGGCTCAGAAAGACGATTCTTTGCGGCCTAGGATGGTCGGAAGGACAGCGGCCGTGGCAAGTGATGCTGTTACTGTTCCGGAGGATATTCCTGAGCCTAGCGAGAGAGAACCGAAGGAAACTGCACGGGATGCCTGGTTCTTGTCTGGAATTGCTGCTGGAAGATTTAGCAACTCTGACCCCTTGTTCACATCAGATGATGAGTGAGTCGTATCATTGATTAACTTCTGAAACAATTTCTTACAGAATTCATCATAGGTACCTTTTTCTTGGTCTTAAAACAGCGGTTCACATCTACTCGGTGACGAGTTCGCGGCTTTTTCGAGTGCTGAAGTTGAAGTCTACCGACAATGTAATCGAATACAAGCTCTCGCCACAAAATTCGGATCATCTATACGTGTTCAGCTCTACTGGCTCTGTGAGCAAATGGGAATGGTTTTCTGGTCAACGGCTTTATTACCGAGATGCATACAGGCCAACAACCTGTATCGACCTTTGTTCGGATGCTTCTGGAAATGACGCCCTGTTCTCCGTTCATGATCGCGCAGATTCGAAGAAGGATATCGTTCTCCAACGCTTAAGTGATGAAGAACCTTGCTCTGTTCCCTTGTTGACCACCAACACTCAGATCACTCATCTCAGGGTTGCATACCAGGGTAGAATTTTAGTCGCTTTTGGAGGCCAAAATGTTCTCCTCGGTTGTCAAACGCATCTTTCAGACTCAAGTCCTGTCCCTTATACCTGGAGCGAGTTGACTTTGCCCACGAGTATCACATCCGCTGATATTCGATATCAAACAGCCCCACAGCGAGCGGGGATCCCGGGTCTCAAAGACCGGGCAACCCTTGGAAATGTTGACCTTGCGCTGGGAGAATCCGGGGGCTCAATCATGATTTATAATGATATCCTCACTTCCCTACAGAATAATACCGGCAACAGCAAGGCTCTTACCCCTAGGCGGCTGCACTGGCATAGGAGTTGTGTTAATGTGGTGCGTTGGTCTAAGGACGGTAAGCCATGTTCATAAGACAAAGCTGGGCTCCAAATGACTGATACATCTCTCTTTCAGGTAACTATGTCATCTCTGGCGGCAACGAATCGGTGATGGTTCTGTGGCAGCTGGATACGGGCCGAAAGCAATTCTTACCCCATCTCTCGTCCCCTATTTGCAACATAACTCTTTCCACCAGTGGGACCCTCTATGCTGTCAAGCTAACAGACAATTCCACCACTGTGCTGTCAGCGCGAGAACTCCAGCCCTTTGCCACCATAAACGGCTTGCAGCTGTGCCCACCGACCAAGTCTCACACTCGGTCCTCGACCAAGAGGCCTCTGTCCTTCGGAACTATAGCCGCCGCTTTACATCCGAAGCTCCCGGATCAACTTCTTCTGACTGTTCCAGCCTCTCGTCAGCTTACACCGGAAGGTCATACTGTGGCGAACGCTTGCACACTCCAAACCTACGACATACGCTCCAACAGCCATGTCTCACGGCAAGCACTTGCGCGTACCAACACAACAATTTTAAAGATTAGTCCAGATGGCTCATACATCGCTGCACCAGATGTCAGTCACTTGTCGCTCTCGAAAGACGGGAAGTGGATGGCTACCATCGACAGCTGGAGCCCTTACACAAGAGACATGCAAGCTCTCTATCCTGACGATGATCATGGCGGTCGCAGCTATACTCAAAATCAAGAAACTTTCCTGAAATTCTGGAGATGGAATATCTTGTCCATGATGTGGGATTTAGTGACCAGAATTGACACTCCTCATTTTTCTGGCACGGGTCCTGCACGGATCTTGGATCTTGCTTCCCGCTATCTTGCCCATGAATTCGCAACTGTCGGCGCTGATGGAGTGCTTCGCATATGGTGCCCAAGCGCCAGGCAACGAAGTGGTCTCAAGACAACAGGTACCGAACAGCTGTCGGAGACCTGGAAATGTCGTAATGCTATTGATCTGAAGAGCTATAGTGACGTATATCACTCTATAAGATTGAATGCAGCCTACATGGATTATTCGCAGGATGGTTCGGTTCTCGCCGTTTGCTTGAATTCGGCATCATCTGCGGATCCCGGTGTTACATTATTGATTGATGCTCAAACATGTAGCATCCGCTATAGTAGGGTCGGGCTATATGCAGGGGATCCTTGTGCGTTGGCATTTCTGGGCTCTCAGCTCCTGATCACCTCAACACGGTCCGTGTTCATTTGGGATACTGTGCATGACCTTGTCAGGACTCTCTGCTTCCCTGATGCAGCTGAAAACGGACAACCCTGTTCACCATGCCTGTTGGCGGTTAGCACTGAAACTAAAACTTTCGCTATTGCCGCGCAAGTTCATTCCAAGAACACTGCGTCAAAGAAACGCCGACGATCCGAACCTCATGTACAGATTTACGACATCGAAACCCTCGCCTTACTGTCTGAAACCATGCTTGATTGCTCTCCCGTTGCTTTACTATCTGATAAACACTCTGGCGATTTCGTCATTATCGATGCTGAGGCCAAGGTGCAGAGACTCAGCTGCCTGGGTTTAGCACCCCAAACTACATATGCGCATGCACCAAGTGACTTGTTTGAGAAATCGGGTCTGGCAAGCTTGTTTGGTCAGCAAGACCAGGGCAATCCAACCGATAGACATCAGTTAGCAACAGCGTCTATTGGTCCAAATGGTTCTTTGCAAACACAGCTGGCTAATGTTTTTGGCGATGTACCACCGTACGTTTTGCCTCCAGCCAATCTCCTCTTTCGCGATGTGGTCCAGGCTCTCTCATGTTAGCAATGTACCTAGTGATAACACTTTTTACCACACGGATAGTCATGAGGCTCACATATAATGTCACTGCCGAATTATGGGTGGCTTCATTCCTATGTTCTAGGGGGGTGCTTTCATGTTGATCATATTGATCAGGTTGCATTCAGCGAGACGGCAATGTACCTTAAAGACTCATTTTGACCAGGAGATATTCTGTAGGTATATATTGACTTTTATTGCGGTTTAAGGTCATCGTTCCACCATGTTTCACCATGTTCCAGTTTAATGTAGAACCATTCTGTCCCGGTCAGTAGCCGTTCCTTGCATAACTCAAGCGGAATCCACGTATTTAATGGCACCACAATTGACACAAATACCCCTGATTATGACGCCCGAATACATGTAGGAAGACAAAATGACAGGGCAAGTTCACGAATTCTCTATCGTTATATTATTCTCTTAATCCTCCTCCGCAGCTTGAAAACCCTGGTGCGTAACCATGTCAAAAAAAGCACCCATGTGTTCTTTGATTGGGATTTCCAGCCAGTTGGGTGTGATCCTGGTGAATCTGAAGGCTGCAGTGTCTCAGGCGCAGGCTTCTCATTATTCGTGCTTTCAACATCAACCTGATCAATTCCAGTTCGCCTGTGTCGTTCCTTGTGCCGAGTCTGTTTTTTCTCGGCTTTCATTTGTTGAGCCTCGATTCTCCAGGTCTTCGCCGCCTCTTTTTCTTCAAAAGCTTGACGTGCTGCTTGTACTGTAGCTGCTCGAGCGAGGGGGTCCATGCTACCCCGAGTTTTAGATCGAAAAACAAAATCTAAGGATGATCTTGAGACTGGTGACGTCGTATCCAAAGTACTACCATTCTCTCTCGAGTAGCCAAATGATGTACGTCCGGTAATATTAGTCTGAGAGATTGCAGGTGATCTTGGCATGGAACCGTCTTGAATGTGTAGTGATAATCGTAATGCTTGCTTGGACGAGGTATGCATTGACGAATGAGAGATTCCAGGCCCATGCTGTGTCAGAGAATCGCTGTCAGTCGATTCTTCGCCTAGAGAGGCACTGCTCCCAAGCATGGACATTTGGAAAGATTGGATCTGTGAAGGTGTGTGGACATGAGAAACAAGGGGCACAGGATTAGAGGGTATTGACCTCGGCCCACTTGCGCCTGCGACAGTAGCCACTTGTGCGCGAGAGGAGACATGCGTAGAGTACTTAGGGCGGGCGAGTATACTTCTGGAACTCCCGCTAGCAAGGATTCCGATGTCCGCATGCTCCATATTCGCGTGGAACACATCGGAGGCTGTCGGGGAGCTGTTCCGAGGCGCCTTCATCATAAGCGGCATTCTGCGCATCTCCGCTTCGTTTGCACGACCCAGTAGAGCTTAGATAATTAGATCTCGAGCCACACTCAGACCGAAACGGGTCGTCTAGGCAAATCCAAGCCTATCTGACTGTTCTGGATCTGCTTGTACTGAAGTCGTACACGACCCCTCTCGGCAGACAGTTCGATGCAATCAATTTTGGCAAGAGACGCTGAGGATTATTGAGGTTGCCTGGCTATCATTTCGGTGCGATATCCTGCTCACATTCGGATTCTGCAGCCAAGCCGATTTGGACGCTATCCGCAAGTTCCACCCTCCTGTGTATGACTTGAAATGTATTAATTTGTACCAGATGACTTGACTTCCATAAAAGCGAGATATGCGGTGGTTCCATTCAAGTCAACACGCCTCTTATGCCCACCTAGTCTCTCCGAACCACTGACACTACTGTGAAAGGGTTCAGTTGGTCCTGACCAAAGACATGGTTGTCGAAAAATATGAGTTCAGAAGACAGAGACGCGCAAGTCGAGCCTTTGATCACAGCGTACTTGTCACAAAAAAAGGTGATGGACAGGTAGGATTTGACGTGGTAATGGTCAAATTATAAGAGGGGATATGGGAAAAGAGATATTCTCTAGAAGAGAGAGTATTCCAACAGCTTTTAGCCGAAGAAGCCGGTGGCGGTGACGAAGCGATAAATAGGCGCAGATGGATACTTTCGAGTGCACACGATGCAGCGTGACAATAGTATGGGCAGTTGGCTATGATGATGATCGTCCCATCCAGGTGGAAAGGAATGAAACGAACTCCGCAGAGACCAAGACAGGCGAAGATGGGTGGTGATAATGGAGGATGAATGCACTGGGGAAATAATCAGAGAGTGAAGAGAAAGACAAGAGTGGGAGTGAGGGTGAGAAGGGGGGCGGGGGGTGGAGGGGGACCGCGAGGAGAAGCATGGAAGGACTGGGGAAGCCCGGAAGACGGCGGTGTAAGGGCGGCGGAGCAACGGATGCGGAGTGTATGTCTGTATGTGTGTGCAATACAGTACATTAAATGCGTATTATTTTGGCGGACACCTGCTTGATTACCAAAGTCAATTATGTTAGTTAACTAGTGAATGACCAAAGAAATACAGGGCTTGGCACTTATTTCAGGTTCCTAGAACAACCTACCGACTTTTGTAACTGTACGGTAACTACTATATGTTCCTGTACCTGCGTTAGATAACGGTCTGCGCAATATGATGTACTCCTATATCTTATGATTTTTCTGATATTAAGAACACCATTGAGATAAAAGCCTCTGTACAGAAAATACTTCTGTTACGCATCAAAACCACCGTATCAGTACCAAAAGTGCATGGGAAAAAAACAGTGGCTATTAGATTTTTCGCACAGAGTATATTGCTAAGCCTACGAGCACCTCTCCCCTGAAATGAGCTGACAGGATCCACGTTTCAGTAGCCAAGCGCCATGTCACCACCAGTGGAATAGACCTTCCGAGCAGACACAAAGACATATCTAGTCTGGATCGAATGGTATAATTTCAGGTCATTGAGCAGCGACTCGAAAAAGAAGACCCACGGAGAAACGAGTCATAATAAGACTGAGACCAATCTGGGAGCATGTCTGAAGATGCAGGAGAAGGCATTGCCGCATCAAGCAAGCGCTGCTACTTCGCAATGGACCACAGAGAGAAAGGCAGGAACGGCATGGCTCTGGCCAGACGTGATCGAAAACTCATCGAAGCGAGAAAAAGCATAAGTGCAGCTGCATGTTCGGGTTGCCGCGGGAGTTTAAGAGGTTTCGGTTGGAGGCGATACCGTCCAAGTCCAGCCCATAGCCCAATCTTGGTTCTCCACATATAACTGTATGTGATATCGGAATCATTCTCACGTCTTTGTGGAAAGATTTCTTGCCATCACCATTTTTTGATCTCATCAGCCGTCGGCGGCTCCACACGGACAACTTTGTCGGGGTTAAGGAGGCAGAGAGGGTCGAAAGCAAGTTTGAGCTAGAAGTGCTTAGTCAATGAAACATCGTCACACATTCCACAAGGACCACATACCCGACGCATGGCGTCCACAGTGCGTTCGCCCAATTCATGCTCCAAATAATCTCGTTTGACCAGACCGACGCCATGTTCTCCTGTAACTGTGCCTTCCAGCTGAATGGCTCGCTTCACCATCCGGTGAACCACAGCCTCTGCAGCCCTTTTCTCGCTCTCATTAAAGAGGATGATGGCTGCAAGTGTCAAAAACAGGCCTCTAGTATACCCAGGCAGAAGTGACTTACCATGGAAATTACCATCTCCGACGTGGCCACAGATACCTGCCAAAAGACCACTTTCAGTCATATCTTGTTTTGTGGTTTCAATTATCTGGGGCAGTTTGCTCATAGGTACTGCCACATCCGTTGTCCAAACATGGTCTTCGGGGCCTCTTCGCATAGCCATTACACTCCACAAAGCCTCTTTGCGGGCACTCCACAGTTCCTGCATTTCCGCATCACCGCGTGCAAACTCAAAGGACTTCCCTGCCGAGGAAGAAACAATCTTCTGCACAAGGTTTATCTGTTCTTTGACGCCCAAGGGCGTCCCTGTGAATTTGAAGAAGAGTGTAGGTGTCTCTTTCCATTGTCGGCTGGTCGTCTGACTGGCATTGATACACTTCATCTGGACGTCATCCAGGATCTCCAGTCCGGCAACGGGAATGCCTTCCTCTACTACACGTGTGACACATTCCGCCGCATCCTGTATCGTCTGGAAGCTTGCAACGGCAACATTTTGACTTTTGGGCTTAACAGTCAATTTTAGCGTTGCTTCTGTCACTAGCCCAAGTGTACCTTCGCTGCCAATGAATAGCCTAGTGAGATCATACCCAGCACTCGACTTCCGCGGACGTTGCCTTGTCTTGATGACTGTCCCATCGGCAAGGACGACCGTTAGGGAAAGCACCCACTCGCGCATGGTTCCATACCTATAGGCATTCGTTCCGGAACAGCCTGTACCAACCATGCCGCCGATCATAGCGCCAGGACCGGGGTCTGGTGGGAAAAACAAGCCATCCTCGGACAGCTTCTCGTTAAGCTCCTCCCAGCCAACGGCAGGTTGAACCACAACGTCCAAGTCCCCCTTGTGAACCTCTAAGATACGATCCATGCGACGAAAGTCGATGCAAACACCGCCTCTTGTGGGTGCAAAATGTCCTTCCAAGCTTGTCCCCCCAGAGTACGGCGTGACAGGGATTATCCGCTTATGGCACACCTTCATGATGCGAGAAACTTCTGCCGTGGTTGAGGGATAGAGAACCAGGAAGGGTTTTTCATCAGTCTTCGGCGCATATGAAGACCAGTCAGACCCCGAGTGGATCTCCAAGTCATTGTGTTCCGTAGAGACATTCTCTTTCCCTAAGATATCAACAAAGTCTGCCCATGCAGCCTGTAGGTTTGACGGCGAGACGTTGTGTCTTAGTGGCTCTGATTCATATATAGGAGTGGTTGATGACGTAGGCAAGCTCGCGGGTTTGAGGGACCCTAAGAAGTAAGCCCCGGTGGAGAAGAAGGTCAATGCTAAACATGCGGCATCAGATACACTTGTCATACAATAAAACCCAAAGGAAACGTCTCGTAGAGGTGAATAATTCGCATACCGAACATCATAGCTGCATAGCGACCACCCTGGGATTGGGTCTGATACTCTGAGTAACGCTCCTGCTCGGCACGCTCCCTCTTGAGGCGCTGTTGTGTGCTCTCATATAGCTGATGTTTGAAAGACTGAGACTTTTCCTCCGAGGCATAACGGGTGGATTTGCAAAACACCCTCCGCTGAAGTTCTACTGGTCCAAGTTTGGTATAGCGAGCGCCCGCTCTCGGTTGTAGAGTGTACCTTGTCCCCAACGAGGCACGGAAGGGGTAGGACCTAATCATCTTGTGGGTCGGGGTCAGCATGTAAATAATGAGAGCAATTCTGTTCTTCAGGACGTTGGCATCCTACTGCTGGAGACCGTTTGTAAGTAATTGGATCGGTATCTTAGAGCATGTAAGAAGTTGAGCTTGTTGCGCTTAGTGCGCTAGTTAGTTAGTTAGCTACATTAGCCATGACTAAGCCAAGCTGAGAAACTCAGCTAAACTGCCCAGTGTACAGTACATGTTACACCGACTATCCGTATGTATAGTATATAACAGTACTGAATACCGGTACATATCCACTATTTCCGACTGATCATGTGATAATGCACCGGCTAAAAACCTGCCTGTAGGTACTAAGGTAGAACTGTCCCGAGTTCCGCTGCAGTCAAAGCGTCTCGAATTCCGGTTAAATTGCACACAATCCACCAATAGGTAATCAGCCGGGCTTCATGCCGACTCCCTTGCCCCCCATCTGCGGTCATACTTACCCCGCCATATTATCCTGCCGTCTCACCTGGAGCTCACCTGAGCTTCCTAATTCTCGTGCTAGTGTTGATATAGCTCCATCATAATGCCTTTTGAAGAAGGAACAATCACCTCTATTGCTTGGCTAGACCCATGCAGGTTGCTCGGAGAGAAATTAGGATCAATGGAGACGATTGGTTCATCGCCTTTTCAACAATCTTTCCCCTTCCAATTCCCCCCCCCCCCGGGCCCCCCACCACAACACGCAGCTATCTTGATTATCCTTTGTCGGTTGAAAGCCAACCATTTGTGTATTTAAGTTTCTCCTGCTCTTTTTCTTCTTCTCGTTCTCAGATCTCTGCCACTGCAAACCTTCTCTCTCCCGTTTTGTTTCCGTTAGCCCACTGAGAGCATCAGAGTGTGTCTTGGACGTGTTCCATCTTACCACCTCACCCCCTGCTTCAGAGCCCAGCTTCTTCTATCTCACTAATCAAGAAGCAACTGTTATCACTATCTTATTCCTTGGCTCCTTGAAATCAAATCGGGTGGAAATTTACCGAAGATGTCTGCCCAGAGTGCCACTGCCCAGGTAAGCAAGAAGACACTTTCGTTGAAAAGCATACACCTGTATAGCAGGTCGGGAGCTGGCAATTGCTAATGTGGGCAATCCAACATATATAGAACCTCTCATTCGTATTGGAAGGCATTCATCGGGTCAAATTTGAAGATCGTCCGGTCCCGGAATTGAAAGGACCCCACGATGTCCTTGTGAATGTCAAGTTCACGGGTATATGCGGGAGCGATGTACGTTCTATCGATAGCGCTTGGGAAGATGAGTCGAGCTTCAAACTGACTTCGGGACAATTTCTAGGTTCACTACTGGGAGCATGGTTCCATTGGCCAATTCGTCGTCAAGGACCCTATGGTACTGGGCCATGAATCATCAGGCATTGTTAGCAGGGTCGGTCCGTCGGTCACGGGGTTGAAGGTGGGAGATCGAGTGGCACTCGAACCCGGCGTCCCTTGCCGTCGCTGTGAACCGTGCAAGTCTGGGAAATATAACCTGTGTGAGAAAATGGCATTTGCCGCTACCCCCCCATACGACGGCACTCTCGCCAGTTACTACATTCTGCCCGAGGACTTCTGCTACAAGGTCCCCGACAGTATTACCCTACAAGAGGCTGCACTCATGGAGCCCCTTGGTGTCGCAGTACACATCGTCAAGCAGGCAGATGTTAAACCTGGCCAATCGGTGGTTGTATTTGGCGCTGGGCCAGTGGGACTCTTATGCTGCGCTGTAGCGAAGGCGTACGGTGCGTCCAAGGTTATTGCCGTGGATATCCAAAAGCCGAGACTCAAATTTGCCGCAAGCTACGCAGCAACTTCAACATATGAGCCGTTCAAAGCCAGCCCCTCGGAAAATGCGAAGAGAATCATCGAGGAAAATGACCTAGGCTCGGGTGCAGATGTAGCAATCGATGCATCCGGAGCAGAGCCATCTGTGCACACTGGAATACACGTCGTCCGCGCTGGCGGAACGTACGTACAAGGCGGCATGGGAAGGAGTGAGATCACCTTTCCGATCATGGCTGCATGCACCAAGGAATTGAATGTGAAGGGCAGTTTCCGTTATGGTAGTGGTGATTATAAGCTTGCAGTATCGCTTGTTGCCTCGGGCAAAGTGAATGTCAAAGATTTGATCACTGGTACTGTCAAGTTCGAAGATGCCGAACGGGCATTCGAAGAGGTCAAGGCTGGAAAGGGTATTAAGACACTTATCGCTGGCATAGAGTCCTAGACATGAACTGGGTAAAGTCAGGAATACCAAGATTCGACCGGGTCCGTTGAAAATCTCCCGCTTCTAGTAGGATGAGGTCTAATTGTCCTTGGGCTTGTAGTGATGATATAAGCGTCGTCATATGATTCAAATTTAGTGACTTTTGAGGTAAGTGTCAACGGGTGTGGGCCACCAGAATGTTATTTGTAATGTAGAAAATGATTAAAGATTGAGCTAGGGCTGGAAGCCAAAGGACGCCAGGAAGATAACTTAGTACAGGACACTTAATCACAGAGTCGATTAATCTGTGAAGGACAGCCAGAGTTGCAGTTAGGGTATCATGCTGATTGAATTGAGAAAGAGAAGTTCCAAGCGAGATCAGACTATCTCCTGAATGAAGCAGAGACACAAGCTAGTCAATTGTTATTCTCAGAGATTTCACAAAATGGACGGTGACCGAGGTTTATGATCGGTGGTCGGCCCGTTCTCCGTTATAGGGATATCAAATGAGGAAGACTGTATTCGAGCTCCGAGCTGCGCAGCCGCGATGATAACAGGCAGCAGGTCAGCAACATCTACCGTCTTTCCTTCGATGAGAGTCGCTCAACCTAAACACATCTTCCCATTCTCTCAAACCACCTCTTCGGCTGTTTTCAGCTTCGATTCTGTTGTACCGACGACGCATCTGAACAGAACCATCATCGAGCGTTGTGCGACTTCGAATACTAGATCCATCACTGGCGCTGGGACCATAGCCACCATCTCCGTATTGAATTCCACTTTGTGGGTCGTCAGGATCGATTTCCCCTAATTCAATCTTTGTGAGAATTATCCGGGCCAGCCGGTTGAACAACTCTTCCACCCCCTCGCCGGTAAGGGCTGAAATCTCGACGGCTACCGGGATACCGGATTTGGCTGCCCAGCGTGACACGTTTTCAGTGCTGACTTCGCGACCATGCAAAGTGTTTGTCGCTGTTAACCTCGTTCCTGCTTCATAAAACACTGTAGAACGAACAGACCCGCCGGTAGAGTCAGGAAGGAGGGAAGAATGCTTGCTGGACGTGCTAGACGGTGTGGGAGGCGGCCGGGAGCTATCGTCGAAGTTATCGTTATGCTGCATGGCATCTGAGGTAAGGTCCGCTTTGTTCCCCGCGAGCAGGACGGTGAGATTGGGCGAAGCAAGAGTACGCGCATCCATTAGAAATGTCGGAAGGGCCGTGAATGAAGCCTGAGAGGATACATCATAAATGAGGATGGCCCCCGCAGCCCCTCGGTAGTAGGATCTGGAGACAGATCGAAACCTCTCCGTTCCAGCCGTATCCCATAGCTGAAATTTGATTCTTGTTCGCCGGGAGCCGGTGCCTAATTTGACTATGCGGGAGGAGAATTCCACCCCGATCGTCTGCGAAGACAGCACTCTCCCTACACGTACACAGTTTGTTAGCAAGGCAGGTTACCAGCTCGGAATGAATGTATACATAGGCTAGGTCAGAGGTTGAAACCCTACATTCATTCTTCACAAAACGATGTAACACACAGGACCTTGGTTGTCACGGACAAGTGAGCGAGTGTTGAGCTTTTTTGCTCTCCAGTGAATTCCAAAAGATCTTACTTTCCAGCCCCGCTTGGCCCAAGAAGGATTACCTTAGCCAGATAATCGTACATACTCTCCAGTTCCTGGGAAAGAAATGGGAAAAAGACAAAGCGACCGGTCAGCCCTGATGCAAAATGAGCAGCTCCTGGTACAACGGCTGCATCAATTCCAGTTGAGGGTGAAGAGGGTCATGTGTATGTAACTTAAGGGGTGTAATGAGAAGATCGCATACCTGGTTCCTCTCAGCCTGGAAAGATGGAGCTGAGGAAGCATTCGAAAAGCTCCTTTGACGCACCATGGCGCCAAACAAGAGCCATCCAAAGGAGAGACTTGAGGATGTTGTGAAGGTGAAGGGAAAGAAGAGAGGTGACGAGGTCAAAGTTACTGGTGTAGACCGTACAGTACCGCGTATTGTACGGAGTAGACTTTAGTTACAGTACCCCTGCGTGACACATGCAGGCTCCACACTGAAGCAGCTATTGATTGCCCGCCACAATGCGAGCCCACATATCAATTCGCAAATCTGCCTTCCAGTTCATTGCTACTCCGTACACAAGTCTTGTCACAGGCAAATGAGTTGAGGGATCTTAGGTCAAGGTTCGCTACATTGTATGTTCTTGAAGGAACAGACAAGGCTTTCCGTCTATCATTCAAATTTGATACAAGAGCTAAAGACAATTTATAAGAGTACGCCACAAAGGCTCGCTGATCGCAAGCAAAAACCAATGCTATCCGTGGCGCGAGAATGCGGAAAAAAGGCATCAATTTGAATTTGCCGATAAGGTTCGTGATTTAGTGACATTTCTTGCGTAAATGGACAACAGTACTCCATCCTTCGCAGCATGCCTGGTTCATCTTGTGTCCGCACCAGCAGCTATGAAGCGATTGAGCTGTGAAACTTGGTCTGTCGGATGCGCTACGGGTACATGGTTGGCTGGTAGATTGCCTCGATTGTCCGCTTCTGAACATAGCAAGATCATTCTTCTTGTCGGTGACAGCTGCTTCTCTTTCCTCTGTAAACCATTCGGAAGTTGTTGGAGTTGGAAGATTCTTGCTGCAGAGGTACTCTGAATACATTTGCGAAGGATTATCATGCCATTGCCCACAAACGCAACAGATAAGAAATATCTTAGAAACATGCCGACCTGGGCAGTATTTCGGCTGGTCGCCGGAGTTCTTAGTTTGCATCAGCAAAGTACCAGATATCGCGGCTGGTGATTGCTTCCGTGCTGGTGAAAGACAAGCACTAGAGTCATGCCTAGGATTTTCAATTCCAGGATGTCTTAAACACATCGCGGGAAAGTCATTCTCATCTCTTGATCGTGAAGCGACGGAAATGCCCTCATCCGCCGTGTTGTAATCATCTGCCGACATCTCGCGAGATGAATTGTCCAATGAAGACAGAGAGTTGCCATACAGCTGTGGTTGATCGGCAGGATATGCGTGGGTGACTTGTGGATTTTGGACCTCTGAAGTCCATTTGGACTTTGTGGGACATGGCTCATGATCGAGGTAGGATTTTAGCTTGCACAAGGCCTTGGTCTGGCTCTGCCCGACGCCAGCGCTGTAGCCGACTGAAGTCTGAGAGTGCAGGTCGGCTCTGGCATCATGCGAATGCCCGAATTCAGCCATAATTGATGCCGACGAATCTATTTTTTCATCTTGAACTCTGTACGTACTATCGTTGGAGGTATGCTGAGGGCGTTTGTTTGAGAACATTGGCCGGTCGCCGTCGCAATCCTTATATGCAGGTCTGTGAGTATTTGCTCTTTCAGATGATGCGCCAAGGCCATGATGGTTGATCGGTAGCGGTCGCACTGGCCTTGATCTGACAATTATGCCATTTTCCAAAACCTTTGAGCAGACTTGTCTCGATTTCTCAACTGCGAATTGGGTGGACGGTTCAAATGAGGTTGGATTGGTTGAAGCTGGTCCGCTCGCCAGGTCACCCACCGAGGTCACCGCCAGCGGCGATGACTGATATTTTCTATATTGCCTCTGGAACTGTCTGTAGTTTGGAGTCCTTGCCGAAATAGCTTTCCAGGGTTCTTGTTGTGGAATGGTGAAGTCATTGGGGTGCTGAGGATGAGGCCTTGCAGCGGACTGCTTTATTTCACCGGGGTTAAAAACCAAACAATCTGCGCGGGTGTCTTGGGTGTCTTTAACAGCGGGGTTGATAATGGGCATTGGGCGCCCAGAGGTTTGAACAACCTCAGGGATCCTTGTCTCTGTATTCAGGACCGCTGAAAAAGAGGTACGGTCCAAGTCTCTTGCCTTTTGCGACACTTTTGGGGCTCTTAGCTCGGGTTTTGCTGATGAGGAAGTATAACTCTCATTTCTATATGCGACCGGTCCTTGACTTGTCTCCTGGACCAGACACTCGTGCGATAGCCGCGATTTGCTGGTCTCGTTCACATGAGAGTCTGCGGTCGATTGGGTAGGCTTCCCCGGAGGACCGTCCTTGTGATATGAAAGTAGTGCATTTGCCGCAGTGAACTCTTTCGATAGCGCAATGCTAAATCGCTCGGGTGCTTTCAATACCGTCCGATCCTCTGGATGCAAGTTAGCATTCTGCCTTGACTTTGCGGTGCTAGATGACTGTTGACATAGTCTTTGGTCGGCTCCGTGCGCTGAGCTCGGTCGAGACCGCGATGAGCGCCTTGAGATGGAGAACATGGAAGAAAGCCTAGTCGAGGACCGGAAATCATCTGCACTCGCACTGGACGCCCTGCTCCGCCTGTCCAAAGGTTGTTTTTTGGAAAGACGGCGGGTTTCCCTTTTCAACAGCCGGGATGTTCTGGATTCTCCGGCCTGTTCGAGCCTGAGGAGCTTTTTCTCGAGCTCTGCCCGATCTGCTTCCAAACGCTTCGTAGCCCGGGTCTCTTTGTTCCTGGGGGCGACATTTTGTCTTTTCGCTGGGGGCTTGTTATTAGATGTTACCGCAACATCGCCTTCCAAAGAGGCTCCCGTCCTCTTTGATAGATACCCGTTGAGCAGCGATGCTGATAGTCTCTTAACTCCAACGTCTCCGATTGACTGCCTCGGATCTCCATGTTGACCCTCCTCTGTGCTTATTTGTGAATGCCCACTGCTGCTTGGAGAACTCGAATTTGGTCGCTGGGTGGCTGCTTTTTCTGGCCCGGGCCTTGTTGCCTGGGAAGTAGCCTTCGGACTTTGGCCTTGCTTGTCCTGGAGCTGCTTTCGAGGGAATCAGCATCCCAAAGTACTTTGACGGTATGATAGACATGAGCTATATGTAGGAGGCCACGATACTCACATGTGTTTGCTTGTCAAAGCCGAGTGCCCGCTGAATTTGCTGAGTGATTGACGGTCTGCGTGGCCTTCTGCTCAAGTGGCTATTCTGATCCTGCTTCATCTTTGCGACATAGGTGTAGCAGCCAAGGGTGACTGGCTGGGGGGATCATAGCACAAAGCGTTCACTGGCGGAGAGGCAACCTGAACCGAGCCTAGTCATGAACATCACCGATCGCGCCTAGTTGTCGGGCTGGGCCAAATAGAAGTCCTCGTACTGGTGAGGGACCTGCTAGGGGCGTAAGACGAGTTCTGAAGGGCGATTAGTACACCACAAAGTACATAGCAGGGAGGTCGGGGGCTGAACAAACTGCAACAACGGTTTCAGCCGCCTCACCAGCTGCAGGCCAGCAGCACGCGAAGCTCGGATCCCACAAACATGGGTAAGAAGAGGGCGGGCCAGCTGCAAGGGTCTAATGTCACGCCGGCCGATGTCCGAATCGATGCCTCATTCATGAATGAGCCCTTTTAACTGTTTTGTTTCATTTACTTCTTCCAACTCCTCTGTATACTTGGCCCCGCCAAATTCTCAGAAGCATCAGAGTGGCATGATAATCAGGGGGCGAGGTTCTCAGGCCTAGATTTCGCAATGCAGGAAGACTCTGCCGGGCTCATTGGGCATTGATGCATGCACGCTCTAACCTAATAGTCAGATAGTACAGTACATATAGAGTATAAGTAGTATTTTTCAAAGATTCATGCAAGGGACCGGATAGTGCAACCGAGTGAGATGAGCGCGTAAGAGGAGACGGCAAACAAGGAGCAGGTCTTTTCTATTCCATTATATGCATGAGATATAAGCGGCAGAGCCAGACGATGTTGCAATTGGTCTTCAAAATATGTGTGTAGATCGACATTCGGGGTGATTGACAACAAATCTATCCGCATTCTGAGCTATCAGAGCTCGTTCCAGACAATGTACTATACTGTACTGTATTATACTGTACTGTACTGTACTGTATGGATGCATGCGACTTACGCTCTGAGCTCGATCCCTCAGCTGACCCCTGCGGTGGGGCTTGAAGAATCATTCAAATACAAGTATGTAGTAAAGAGCCCTCACAAATCTATATACCACCCACGGAGCAAGCCCAAACCTCCATCTACTGAGTACTACTCTACAACTGTGGTATGAACACTTACCATAGCGCTGTGGCAACTAAGATATGTGGATGGATGAATATTGGCTCAACCTTCCGATCATTTCGTGACACATTTTCAAGAAGAAAACAGACAGCAAGGTGACGAGGGGGGGACGACACGCGAAGTATAAAACGTCACTTATAAGTGGAAGTTCGATTCTAGTAATTAAATGGATCAACAACCCAAGAGCATATGCCAGGAGTCCCCACCGGATTACGCATATGTTGTCGCTTCTTCGTCGGCGAACACATTCTCACAGCCTCTGCCTCCTCCATACCACAACTGGCAAGAGTCTTCTGAAGAAGATAGCTTGCCTCCACCAGCAGCGAGCTTTCTTTACTCGTCTACTGGCAATGCCTCCTCCCATAACGCTTTGCGTGCGCACGAGTTCTGTGATGCACACCCACTACGCCCCCCAGCGGAGCCATCTGTTGCCGCTTACAGATCTGTGGAGCATTATTATTTTACCCCAGTACGGCCGTTGGAGTTTCATGGCAATGTGCAGGTTGCTCATCAGGGTCGTTGGACGGGCTCCACGGGCCACGGAAACAGTGACTCTATACTGACAACCAACTTACCTCTTTACTTCTCTTTGGTCGACTCCCCTCTTCGCACAAATATGGCCAAGTTAATCTACTTCGAAGTCAAATTACTAGGCCTGGGCGGAAGGTCCAGCAGCAGGTTTGCCGATTCTAGCGGGTTCGCTATTGGATATGTGGCAAAGCCATACCCATCATGGAGGTCTCCCGGCTGGGAGCGAGGGAGTCTCGGTGTCTTCTCCGATGATGGCTGTCGCTTCGTGAATGACTCCTGGGGCGGGAAGCCTTTTACAAGTGAATTCCGCGAAGGAGAAACAGTTGGCCTAGGAATGGTGTTTCGACAGTCATGCGATAAAACCAGAGTTGATGTAACCGTTTGCTTTACCCGTGATGGACAACAGGTGGGGGCTTGGGATCTTGCCGAGGAAAGAGATGAGGACTCCGGCGGAATACAGGGGTTAGAAGGCGATTTTGACCTGTATGGGGCTATAGGGCTTTTTGGAGTGGTGGAGTTTGTTGTGGAATTCAATCCCACAGCTTGGTTATGGACTCCATCATGTGTTGTTTGATTTGCGCATACTTTAGTTAGCCTCAGTTAGCCTCGATGCTGACGTATGTATATTGCAATTTGTCTGTTCGCACCACGACTCTGGCTCAACTGGACCTCGAAGTCGGAGTAAAGCTTTGGGGTACACCTTGGTAATGAACTCTTATGCTCGTGTGGGAAGGCTTCGAAAAATCCTGCAGTATAGGCAGGAACAGATGCATCTGCCGCATTGCTGCACACTTCTGAATGTGTGCACATGCAGGCAGAACTGGACCTGCCATTGATGAACCAGTATGAAAATTAGCAAGCTGTGAAAAGCCAAGCCGGCAGAATAACCTGACAGCGGAGGTGGGGGCAAAGATGAACAGAATAGGCAACTGGTACTCGACACCTACAACGCTAATCGATGAGATCTTCTAGAAAGAGACCTGCAGGATTGGCTGGGGATTTCTCTACTGATGCACATACTCACTACATTAGTGTACGGGGGGGAGTTCAACCGCATTCCGCCGATGCTGTCAATGGACGACGGGAACCATTTACCGGGGGGATGGAGGTGACCTGTTCTCAAGCCGATATTCGAGAACTGACGTCACAATTCAGAATTATACACACGGATCATGCATCTCCTACACTCTTGGATAACCATCGCCAATAGGAACAGATGAGCACCCATTCTCGAGATGGAAGAATTATTCGGAAGACCCTTATGGCGCTGCTTGGATATAAGTGGAATTGGGCTCTGTGGCATAGTATTAAAAGTAATTATCAGATAGTCATATCTCCGCCTTGGAAGATAAGTACGAGTATGATGGAGAAATGAGACTGGAGGAAGCCGGTATCTCCATGGGAATGTATGTACAGTACAGTGCGTACAATACGGTTTGAAACTAGCCATTCAGCTTGCTGTTCAGTGTTGGAGTCGACTTGTAATTTGCACACGCACGACTCTTCAGTCCCAAAGCATATGTCAATCGATTGTGATTTGCGGCCGAAAGAGGTTGACAGGATCGCTGCAAACTGCTACTCTGATTCGGTTGTTGTACAGTACTGTAAGAGGTAGCTTGGTGCTTCGGTCCGGACACCGTCCGGTAATTCTGCCCCAAGGAGTTTTCGCAGCTTTGGCAAAATGGAGGTTAATAGGAAAGGGACGCTAGAAAGACAAAGTCATGATATGAGTGCCCAGTCCGTGGAGAAGGTCCTCCGTTCTTCGTAGTGGAGTCCACATGCGACAGATAGCAAAAGCAGCGAGTATTGACAGGAATGACAACAGGGGTATCCTGTTGCACTGCTGCGAGGTTGAACTTAGAACGCGTCTTTGTGTGGGAACTGGGAAACCACAAATAGCCTGGCCAAGCTTCAGTGACCCAGCACACCCGCCCCCACAGTAGATACTGCATATAGTACAGTACTTAGCTAGAGAGAGCAAACTGAAGCGGGTTGCCCAACGCCTTGCTCAATCCCAGCCTATGATATCCGTAGCTGTACATACAGTGCCACAAATCGCCTGTCTCCAATCCTAGTACTCTATGCTCACCTCTTTGCGGATAGGGCAGGACACAGCATTAAGCCCTAGGATGATCAGGCTGGCAGTTCACATTTGGAGTGGAAATTTCATCAACGGAAGTCCAAAAGCCCTTTAGAAAAGAGCAACAGAGTATGAATGCCCGTGCTCATAGTGGTCTGGCTTGCCGGTCTACGTTACGGTGCTGTATGTACGAGTAGTCTAAGTTAACCGTGTCTGCCTACCACTCTCTATGCAGTCAGCTTCATCTGCATCCATCGGGACCGTTCCTTGTACGTCTTCTGCTTGGTTAGCAATGCTATGCTATCTCATTATCAATCGCCCTTCACTCAAGCTTGGTCGAAACTCGGGACATGAGACCAGGAGCGCTATGTATCTGTCTAAACGCAGCAAGCTTCCTAAATAGCTGGTCCACGGCGCCTAGATACATGAATGGTGCCAACCTAGTCTACGACTACGGAGGAGTAGTCAATTTCCTCTCGCTCATCGCTACCGAATTCGTAACCCGCGGGCTGCAGGCTTTGCAGTGTTCTACCAACCATCGAACGCTTATTGTGGAAGCGGGTTCGGTCGCAGCGAAGAATTGCCCCACAGCCCCAATATACTCCTACATACGAGTATTCTTGTATGGGTATGTACTCCGTACTGTAACTTACATAGAAGAGGATCCCGCCAGTAAGTACTAGTTAGCCTGCGCTAAAATGTGCACAGTCCGCCTTCACCACAAGAGAAATATCACTCAAACGGAGTCAGCTTGAAGACTGTAGGTTTACCAAATGCATTATTCTGTAAGACGAGGGCCTAACTTGGAAAGCTATTCCCCGCGGTTGGTCTCACAAAGCCACGGCCGAGTGAATCATAGGCCCCTTTCTCATACTCGAGCAAAGTTGCGTGATATCAATTTGCGCATATCTTCACCTCCGTCTAGTCTAGACTAGATAAGTACAGATCCGGATAGCCGAATTGAGTGGTGTCTATAAACACGGCTGGCGTGCTGATCGACCGCATAGGCTGCATGTCATCTCCCTTGTTGATCGATGGGGAATGGAATCTGCTACAGTTTCCTGATAAGCGCGACCTTGGTATGCGGGTAGAAGATAATGCCAGTGTAAGCGGCACTTCATGCACATAAGTTTGGGCCTCTGAGGCAGGTCGCAGTGAGCACTGAGCACTTCAGTGAACATCAAACATAGCCTTGGTAGGCGAACAAGCGTCCGTTGATAATGGGCTAAGCATGCATCTCACTCCTGTAACAAGCATCCGCCGGTGGATTGCCTTGTCATGTAAACTATTTTGTTTGACGGTCAAGGTGTCTGCGCACACCTACACAGTACAATACATATTGAGCTACTTTTCATCTGGTGAATTGAGTGCTTAACATTCTGAGCACGGCATATCATGTGTGATGTTGTGGAAAACCTAGCTTATAAGTAGCCAATCCACATACTGAATCATGAACCCGGTCTCGAATCAATTGGACAATATCGAGGGATGTGTGATTAGATCACAATTCAACCTTCTTACTTGGCTACTAGTACGAGCACTGAACACCACCTTTCAAAATATACCATGCGTGCTCTGTAACTTTGATGACAGCTGACTAATATGACCCGATCTGCGACTTCTTTCTGTCCGTACTTGAGGTGCCCGGCACAAGCTCACAACATATGAGTAGCGAATTGACGCCGGAATGGATACTTCCTCGGTCATTCCCGGGTAAAGGTGGAGTGAGATGGAGTCTAGTAATACTGAATATGTCCGTGCAGCAGCCGAGATATGTCCTGTACGCGTCTGTTTTACTCGCCTACACGTCCAAGCCACACCGTTGGGAAAATCATGTTAGGCAGATCAGCTCTACGCCCCTGCTGTGAAAGTTTTGGTAGCTGACCAAGGAAGAATCAAAACAGGATTCATTAATTAGAATTCGCAGTTAACTACTCATTAGATCAATGAGCTCTTAATCTTAGTTGAATGAACAGATTTTCCGACTACCAAGAGCCAAGCGAAACAAAACAAGGGGGCTAAGTACGGAGTACACAACTGTACATGCACAGCACTCGAAAAGGGTCGAGTAGCAAATCGGCAGACTTGACCCGCACGGACGTCGTCTGGCTACAACTTCCGGAAGTTCGTGTAATCATCCGAACCGTATTTACTGCCGAGTTATGTACGAAGTCCATACACAGTAATATACAAGAATTTATTGCGCTGTCATTTTGTGAGAACACTCACTTCTAGGTATACCCGTCAGTCGGGCAGTCCTCGAAGTCCGTAAATCTCCCATCACGGCAAATACAACCATTTTTTTTTCGCAACTGGATCCAGCTGCTCAATCATGGAACACTGTGCTTTTTACTTATCCTTAGTAGAATACCAGGTTAGATTGGAAGCTTTTTTGTTGAGTATGTGACACTATCTGCAAGACTGCAACAGCCCCGCCGAGTTCTGAAGCACATAACCGTTTAAGGTGACTTGCAGGAGCATCCACTTCCATCTACAGCCACTAGTAAGGCTGGCAGGCTACAATTCACCTGGCACACTAGTAAGGAAAGGTAGGATCCATTGTCCATGCAACTGCCATTCCGGGAGTAGTCTGCGGAAAGAAGGCGCCCCTAGATAACAGATATATATGTACGATTGCACGATCACGGAAAGCCCACAGAGTTGTTGTGTGCCAAGACAAAATTGTTGGGATAATGCGAGTCTATCCTTAGACAAGAGGTGGAGCTCGGGCCGCACGTTCATTGTTATATGTACGAGTATGATAAGCAGAAGCAGAAGCTGCCAATGAGAGCAAGGAAAATGGGTGGATCCTTGAAGCATCTCTATGCTTCCGTGTGTGTCTGTACTGTACAGCACAATACTAGTCGCTCTATAATTTGGAGCTAAAGGGTGAACAGCGGTCCTGATTATACTATTGAGAGATGAACAAACGCCGTCTTACTTGGTAACAACTCAATTAGTCGTGTTGACCTCCAGCGGAACTCCATGAGAGTATCGAGGCCAAGACTCCCAGCAACAAGAGAAGTAGTTCCTATGTGTAATCTACACCATAGAAGGCTTCCGAGAATTGACAAGCCAAGGGTGTAACAAGTGGGTTAAGACCCCAAGTTTTTTGCAAGTCCCGCTTGATAGTAGTAGAAAACTGATCTATCTGGCGAGGGGCGACATCAATTCAATGTCCCTAGCAGTTCTAGAATTGCTCCCAGCCAAGGCGAATGCCTTGGTAGTGTGCTACTACCTACCTCCTAGGTAGGGGGGGGGTGTTTTTTTTTCCATTTCTGTGCCGCTATTGAAACTATCTGGGGCAAGAATACCTGCGGAGTATACGTAATTGTAATTTCACTGGAGGACAAGGGCTAAGTTTTGCCACTAGATGCACGCACGAGCCATCTGTCAATTCTCTGGATGCGAATCTATGAAGCCAGTGATCATTGTGGATAAATGTGCCGCCCATGAGTATCAATCTTGTGATGCAGGCAAGCTCCCTTCTAGAATCAAGGCTTTACTGTAACAATTTTTCTTATGTTCCACCGAGGATTGGAAGTCGCGTCCAGCCGTAATTTGTTGAATGTGGTGAGTGTAGCATGAGCATCAATGACATATCATGATCTTGTACTAATGCTATGAGTACTACGACGTGAGGTATTATCAACATATGCTAATGTTGCTCACTTCTCCACTCAAGCTCCACGACCTGCTTCTGTGAGGGCTATCATAGGGCATATGAACGCGGCCGGTGGACTCGTCAGACGGTTTCGAGATCGCCACTAAGATCACCAATTGGCTTGCACATTTACAGCTTTGGGGTTTTGCATGGTTATGTCAGCTGTGGTTCAATCAGTCAGTCAGTAAGGCAGATCTATGTAAGTAGTTTACCGCAACTTCAATCATTGTACCAGACATTGTAGCTGTACGCTCGTTTCCTCTCCGGGCCAATTTTCCAGGCCACACTGACCGGGACAACACTGCACCAGATGCTATACCCTCCCGACTCAGTCGCCGGTCAAGTAAGCTACATCGTTGATGCAATACGATCATGAATGGGCCTCGGGCTTGTAGGTGCTCCCTCCTAGTTCTCGATGAGTGGCTGTCTCGGTCAGACCATCTGCAATAGTCACAGGCGTCACTGCTAGATGTCAGAAATCTACTCCTCGTTGAACGAGCTTTGAAGGGAAATCATACATGTCGCTTGCTGTGGCCTTTATTCCACGGTGCCCAGAAGCTGTCGCTCAAAAACTATATTCCAACCTATACTCGAGTGAATGCACATTACATTTGTCTGGTCATTATCTTTGGCTTCAAGATCGGAGGGCACAGTAGGAGATTGCCCGGAAATCTTTGTAGACAGCAAGCACTCCAAAGTCTTAGTGATCTCAAGGCCCATTAGATTGCTGTACTAGAAGTAGAACCAATGCCTTCCATAAATATCATTTAGTAAATTTTGTATTGATTTAAGTATTGACCTTTGCCTTTCAGCGGTTTTATTGTTTACTGTCGAATCGCATACATTCCAGGCATAATTTAATCCTTTCCATTCTGGTTCAATTCGAACAACCATGCAGTGGTGAATTTAACATGTCCTAAACTTTTCAAATATCATAGAGTACAGAAAAGCGATACAGTATATCGATCGGTCGCCACTCTAGAGTAATTTAGACAGAAAGCAAGGTAGTAATACTAGATCTGGCAGTCTAGAAAGTGTTCCTTGTATCGTGCGCACATTGGGAAGCTCGAGCAAAGAGATAATATATAGCATTGAAGGCAGTGATTATGCTTGAGAAAATCAATCCCGAAGACCAGCGGACTCCCGATGCCGCCTCCGGGATGGTAACTGTAATACCGGCAGTGTCATGCGGCCTGTATGTCTAATTAAATAAGAATAGGGTCTGAGTAGCACGTGAACGAGCTGGTATAACTTTTGTTTTTTTTCTCTCTTTTTTTTTCCCACAACCTCTCTTTCTTCCCCCACTCTCCTTTTTGTTTTTTTTTTTTTTTTTTTTTTTTTTTTTTTTTTTTTTTTTTTTAAAATAGAAATTTGTTCCAGCTCCGGTTGTACTGTACTATGTGACATTTTTCTCTCGGTAGGCAAGGCAACGGAAAGAATAGAGTAATTACCACCGTCCTTCGTTCATCATTGATTATTATGGTTGTTATTATTATCATAATTATTTCTGTCGGATTTTTCCTGACCCTGCGCGC